AGCTTCAAGCGAAACGGTGCAACCTAGTGGTTGCAAAGATATGCAACTATGCCAAAAGTAAGTTTTACATTTTCTTTCGCTTTTTAAACTGCTTTGAGTATGTCGGCTCCCGAGTGAGTTGCAGCGCCCGAGCTGATGTAGACGTGACCAAAAAGGAATGTTCTATGGCTCCTGAGTTCTCTGGTCATCAAGGTGGTGTTGTATCGCGACTTATGCTAATGAAAGACCGACTTCAGATGATGTCAAATCTTTCACATTTGAAGACAGGAGTACGCCAAATTTCAGAATTAAGCAAGCCTGTCTTCACTTTGGCTGGCACTGTGGTGCAATCAACCTCAAACCTTGTTGCAACAACACGCTCATTTTTCCGCTCTGCACAAGCGGTGATCGCACTACTTGCTAGCCTTTTAAAATTGATAATCTTGATGGTGCTTTTCAAGGCTAATGCATACATAACTGGATATTTGCATGACTCAGATTTCGACAATATATACGTTGATGACTATTTTGAGCAGCTTGATTGGCGTCGCGTACGCCAAGGACGCGAAGGTCTTCTGCCACTGCATAGAGTGGAAAATAAAAGATTCATATGGCATACAAAACGTTACACCAAGTCAGAATTTAAGAAAGCATGCATGGCTCTACTTAAGGCAAGCCTACTTGTCACTTCTGTTATGCTTATCTTAATGGGCAACAAGTATATCTACGACCTAATGATTATTCTGGATAAATCGGCCGATATTAGTGTCAACTTAGAGACCGGAACCTCGCAGCAAAGGGAGTTAACTTCACCTAAAACCTCAGGAGATGGGCTATTGGTCAAATTATTTACTAACATCATAAGCAAAGTAATGCGCCTATCTCAAGTGCGACTTGACTACGGCCTATCCAGCTGCCGCCCAAGGACACATAGGCTGCCTCCAGAAGTAGTTTTTCGAATTATGCTGCTCTCACTCGTCATTCTCATTCTGGGAGGAATTTCTGGCTATTTGCTTCGATTACGGCATCATATTTTAGACTTTTTCTATCCTGCAAGGTTTCGACGACGCACTCTTTACCTGTATAATGCTATGCTTGTAGATAGAAAGCGTCGCGAGACGGTTGCCAAAAACGTGCTTTTACAACGTATTCGGCAGAATTTGCTTCAAGCTGTAGTGGTTGATCAGTTTGTCAGGAAGAAAAAACTAATTGAATCCCAGATGACCAGCATGATCAAAGTGAAGCAGACAAAATGGATCAAGAAGTGGCTACTCAATAGGAAAAGCTTAAAATGCCTTGTCTGCCAAGAGACCTTCCCTGTTGGTAGTAATTTACTTCGTGTGTGTCCAGTGGACGGTTCTGTCATCTGCAAAGTCTGTCAGCGTAACTTGCTACTTAGTGACGACACTTCTGACTGTATTTCATGTGCTGACCAAGATCTAAGCAAAATGATTGCTCTTGCTAGAAAACTGGAACCAGAATATCATGATGAAGATAAAGATAACTTAAATTTTAGAAAAAAAGAAGTAAAACAAAAACATTAAAGCTAAAAACCTGGAAAAATGTTAAAATGTCACCTGCGTCAAATTTTAAATAGAGCTTTTCCATGATATTTTAAAGTTTAGATTAATTAATAAAAAATTGAATTTAGCGAGAAAAATAAAAACATTTATAGATTATGAATGAGTTTTATTATAATCTTTTTCATAAAGGTTATTTAAAACATTTAATATGTGAGATTTATTTGTATAATTAATTTCAGATATTAATTAAGGCTTTATGACAATTTTAGATTTTGTTTCGCTAAGCCTACGCAGCTCATTAATGGATTAACAATAATCTTCAGCATAACGATACAAATAAGTATATTTGAAATTAT